GTAAGGTACATACATACAATAAATATTTACAAGGATTGTTTGACTTATAGGTAGAGCTAGTACATACAATGCCTAAAGCCACTATTACGCAAAGCGTTTCAGGCATGAATATTCTTCATCTATCTTCACATAGTTATGAAAACATATACATTCTCCAGGATGTAAAGGTTACAACAAAATCAGATAATAAACAAAGGAGAAAAAAAACTAAAATGTCAAAAAAAAAATCATTAATGAAAGTAACATATATTAACATTGGATAATGCATTTATATGATATATAACAAAATAGATCATATTAACATAGTTATTCATTATTATTTGTGTTATTATGTATTGCTCAGCAATGATATAAAGGCACCAGCTGCATATCCACTTTGTGGACACTTCTTACTACTACTGTTCTTCTTTGAGCGTCGGACAGGTGCTTGTATCTCTTTATTACTGCATTATCCCTCAGTTCCAGTTATTAGGAGCTATTCTCCTTATCAATAAAACGTTCTAATTTTTTAAAAATTCGTCTAAAATCAATTTCTGAAAATATTTTCATGAAAGTTTCACGACACTGAAGCCAATAAGAGATTTGTTTAACATTTTTAAAGTTATTTTTACATAATTTCAATATTTTTTGCTATTATGCCCCCTATATTCGCGGTAATATGCGTGGTCTAGAGGTTAAAGAAGGGGTCTGGATCAGCATCCTCCAAACTGTTCAATATTTTAATCGTTTCAATGAGATCTGCCCTGTCATGCCTTGTTTGTAGTGTTATTAGCCCTGTGGCCCTCAACTGTTCCTGATATGAGAGTTCACTTGGTAGAAGAATGATTTTTTGTTGCCCGGTGTTGAATTCTCAACAGAGCAGATATATTACTTCTTAATATAGTTAATATACAAATGCAAATGCAAATGCCAACAAATGCGAATGTCAACAAATGAAAGTGTCAATAAATGCAAATGCAAATGCCAACAAATGCAAATGTCAACAAATGCAAATGCCAACAAATGCAAATGTCAACAAATGCAAATGTCAACAAATGAAAGTGTCAATAAATGCAAATGTCAACAAATGCAAATGTCAACAAATGCAAATGCCAACAAATGCAAATGCCAACAAATGCAAATGTCAACAAATGAAAGTGTCAATAAATGCAAATGCAAATGTCAACAAATGCAAATGTCAACAAATGCAATTCAGCTTCAGATAGACAATGTTAGCACCAGCAATATAAATGTAAAATTCCTGGCCCTATACTTAGACAAGAGACTCAACTTCAGTACCCACATACAACACATAACTAAGAAAGTCTCTAAAACAGTTGGTATACTCTCCAAAATCAGATATTATGTACCTAACTCTGCTCTCATCTCTCTATATTATGCACTAATCTATCCCTATCTCAACTATGGTATCTGTGCATGGGGGTTCAACCACTGCAAACCACCTCAAGTCCATCATCACCCAGCAAAAATCTGCTATCAGAACAATATCAAACTCTGCTTTCAGACAACACTCGGCTCCCTTGTTTAAATCCCTTAACATGATAAACATAACCTCACTTCACACATTCTCTTGTGTCAACTACATTTACATAACCCTGTTCTTAAATGCAAATCCTGCTCTGAAACTCTCCCTGGACAGATGTAATAGGACCCATTATCACCACACCAGAAATAAATATCTCTTTGATATCCCCAGGGTCAAACTTAATCTGTGTAAATATCCTATGCAAATAAAGGGACCCAGTCTATGGAACTCACTCTAAATGAATTGAAAAACTGTCCAACTTTACCCTTATTCAAAAACAAAAATAAAAAATACCAAATTTCATCTTCATAGTGTCCTACCTCATGCTTTAAATTTGCACTGTATCTAGTGCTACACAATTCCCCAATATATATGTACCTAAGCCATACTGTATAACTTTACCATTGTGATCATTGCTGTCATAATATATGTGCTATCAATATGGTTTATTGTGTCTACTAATCTTTGTCAAATTATCAATCAAGTTATTAATGCTGTCAATCAAAGCTATCAATGTGCTTCAATATACCTGTTAATCTCTCTCAAATTTTCTTACAATGTACCTGTAAACATTTTATAAATTTTGCAGGCATTTACCTACTTAATATTATGTTAGATTAAAAACGTGGAGTCTCCGTGGTGCAGTGGTAAGACACTCGCCTGGCGTTCCGCGAGCGCTATGTCATGGGTTCGTATCCTGGCCGGGGAGGATTTACTGGGGCACAAATCCTTAACTGTAGCCTCTGTTTAACTCAACAGTAAAATGTGTACTTGGATGTAACAACGATTCTTCGCGGCAGGGGATCGTATTCCAAGGACCTGCCTGAAATGCTGCGCGTACGAGTGGCTCTACAAGAATGTTAACACATCATGCTATGTAGTCTCACAAACCCAATGTACCTTCTTGTATATATAAATAAACAAATAAATAAATAAATAAATATACATCTTTCTGAAGATGAAGTCTCCGCGCTTGAATACAATAATCCAAGTGTTTCTGTTTAGCACAGAGATACACACCTGAAGCACTACCTTCCTTCCCTTAAAGTCAGAGGTGCACCTGATTATTCCAAATGTGTGGTTAGCTTTTTGTTTACACTGCACATCCCCTGCAGGCTGGTCACTGCACATCACCTGCAGGCTGGCCACTGCACATCACCTGCAGGCTGGCCACTGCACATCACCTGCAGGCTGGTCACTGCACATCACCTGCAGGCTGGTCACTGCACATCACCTGCAGGCTGGTCACTGCACATCACCTGCAGGCTGGTCACTGCACATCACCTGCAGGCTGGTCACTGCACATCACCTGCAGGCTGGCCACTGCACATCACCTGCAGGCTGGTCACTGCACATCACCTGCAGGCTGGTCACTGCACATCACCTGCAGGCTGGTCACTGCACATCACCTGCAGGCTGACCACTGCACATCCCCTGCAGGCTGACCACTGCACATCACCTGCAGGCTGGTCACTGCACATCACCTGCAGGCTGACCACTGCACATCACCTGCAGGCTGACCACTGCACATCACCTGCAGGCTGACCACTGCACATCACCTGCAGGCTGGTCACTGCACATCACCTGCAGGCTGGCCACTGCACATCACCTGCAGGCTGGTCACTGCACATCACCTGCAGGCTGGCCACTGCACATCACCTGCAGGCTGGCCACTGCACATCACCTGCAGGTTGGTCACTGCACATCACCTGCAGGCTGGTCACTGCACATCACCTGCAGGCTGGTCACTGCACATCACCTGCAGGCTGGTCACTGCACATCACCTGCAGGCTGGCCACTGCACATCACCTGCAGGCTGGCCACTGCACATCACCTGCAGGCTGGCCACTGCACATCACCTGCAGGCTGACCACTGCACATCACCTGCAGGCTGACCACTGCACATCCCCTGCAGGCTGGCCACTGCACATCACCTGCAGGCTGACCACTGCACATCACCTGCAGGCTGGCCACTGCACATCACCTGCAGGCTGACCACTGCACATCACCTGCAGGCTGACCACTGCACATCACCTGCAGGCTGATCACTGCACATCCCCTGCAGGCTGACCACTGCACATCCCCTGCAGGCTGGCCACTGCACATCCCCTGCAGGCTGGCCACTGCACATCCCCTGCAGGCTGGCCACTGCACATCCCCTGCAGGCCGACCACTGCACATCACCTGCAGGCTGGCCACTGCACATCACCTGCAGGCTGGTCACTGCACATCACCTGCAGGCTGGTCACTGCACATCACCTGCAGGCTGACCACTGCACATCACCTGCAGGCTGACCACTGCACATCACCTGCAGGCTGACCACTGCACATCACCTGCAGGCTGACCACTGCACATCACCTGCAGGCTGACCACTGCACATCACCTGCAGGCTGGTCACTGCACATCACCTGCAGGCTGGTCACTGCACATCACCTGCAGGCTGGTCACTGCACATCACCTGCAAGCTGGTCACTGCACATCCCCTGCAAGCTGACCACTGCACATCCCCTGCAGGCTGACCACTGCACATTCCCTGCAGGCTGGCCACTGCACATTCCCTGCAGGCTGGCCACTGCACATCCCCTGCAGGCTGGCCACTGCACATCCCCTGCAGGCTGGCCACTGCACATCACCTGCAGGCTGGTCACTGCACATCACCTGCAGGCTGGTCACTGCACATCACCTGCAGGCTGACCACTGCACATCACCTGCAGGCTGACCACTGCACATCACCTGCAGGCTGACCACTGCACATCACCTGCAGGCTGACCACTGCACATCCCCTGCAGGCTGACCACTGCACATCCCCTGCAGGCTGGTCACTGCACATCACCTGCAGGCTGACCACTGCACATCACCTGCAGGCTGACCACTGCACATCACCTGCAGGCTGATCACTGCACATCACCTGCAGGCTGACCACTGCACATCACCTGCAGGCTGGTCACTGCACATCACCTGCAGGCTGACCACTGCACATCACCTGCAGGCTGACCACTGCACATCACCTGCAGGCTGACCACTGCACATCACCTGCAGGCTGGTCACTGCACATCACCTGCAGGCTGGCCACTGCACATCACCTGCAGGCTGGCCACTGCACATCACCTGCAGGCTGGTCACTGCACATCACCTGCAGGCTGGCCACTGCACATCACCTGCAGGCTGGTCACTGCACATCACCTGCAGGCTGGTCACTGCACATCACCTGCAGGCTGGTCACTGCACATCACCTGCAGGCTGGTCACTGCACATCACCTGCAGGCTGGCCACTGCACATCACCTGCAGGCTGACCACTGCACATCACCTGCAGGCTGGTCACTGCACATCACCTGCAGGCTGGTCACTGCACATCCCCTGCAGGTTGGTCACTGCACATCACCTGCAGGCTGGTCACTGCACATCACCTGCAGGTTGGTCACTGCACATCACCTGCAGGCTGACCACAGCCTCGGTAGCCTCCACACACTCACCTGTCCGCCGCTCCCTCTTGTAGAATACAATATATGTCCTTGTTGTATGTCTATAAAATAAATTCAGATACAATAGGTAGGAACAGCTGATCTTTCTCTCCTTGACGACCGATGCTAAACAAGCTCCCCCGGGGTTCCCACACTGCCGGGCCCCCCAGACTCCCGGGCCCCCCAGACTCCCGGGCCCCCCAGACTCCCGGGGTTCCCACACTGCCGGGCCCCCCAGACTCCCGGGGTTCCCACACTCCCGGGCCCCCCAGACTCCCGGGGTTCCTACACTGCCGGGCCCCCCAAACTCCCGGGGTTCCCACACTGCCGGGCCCCCCCAGACTCCCGGGGTTCCCACACTCCTGGGCCCCCCAGACTCCCGGGGTTCCCACACTGCCGGGCCCCCCAGACTCCCGGGGTTCCCACACTCCTGGGCCCCCCAGACTCCCGGGGTTCCCACACTCCCGGGCCCCCCAGACTCCCGGGGTTCCCACACGGCCGGGCCCCCCAGACTCCCGGGGTTCCCACACTGCCGGGCCCCCCAGACTCCCGGGGTTCCCACACTCCTGGGCCCCCCAGACTCCCGGGGTTCCCACACTGCCGGGCCCCCCAGACTCCCGGGGTTCCCACACTGCCGGGCCCCCCAGACTCCCGGGGTTCCCACACTCCCGGGCCCCCCAGACTCCCGGGGTTCCCACACTGCCGGGCCCCCCAGACTCCCGGGGTTCCCACACTCCCGGGCCCCCCAGACTCCCGGGGTTCCCACACTGCCGGGCCCCCCAGACTCCCGGGGTTCCCACACTCCCGGGCCCCCCAGACTCCCGGGGTTCCCACACTGCCGGGCCCCCCAGACTCCCGGGGTTCCCACACTGCCGGGCCCCCCAGACTCCCGGGGTTCCCACACTGCCGGGCCCCCCAGACTCCCGGGGTTCCTACACTGCTGGGCCCCCCAGACTCCCGGGGTTCCCACACTGCCGGGCCCCCCAGACTCCCGGGGTTCCCACTCTGCCGGGCCCCCCAGACTCCCGGGGTTCCCACACTGCTGGGCCCCCCAGACTCCCGGGGTTCCCACACTGCCGGCCCCCCCAGACTCCCGGGGTTCCCACACTGCTGGGCCCCCCAGACTCCCGGGGTTCCCACACTCCCGGGCCCCCCAGACTCCCGGGGTTCCCACACTCGCGGGTCCCCCAGACTCCCGGGGTTCCCACACTCCCGGGCCCCCCAGACTCCCGGGGTTCCCACACTCCCGGGCCCCCCAGACTCCCGGGGTTCCCACACTGCTGGGCCCCCCAGACTCCCGGGGTTCCCACACTGCCGGGCCCCCCAGACTCCCGGGGTTCCCACACTCCCGGGCCCCCCAGACTCCCGGGGTTCCCACACTCCCGGGCCCCCCAGACTCCCGGGGTTCCCACACTGCTGGGCCCCCCAGACTCCCGGGGTTCCCACACGGCCGGGCCCCCCAGACTCCCGGGGTTCCCATACTCCCGGGCCCCCCAGACTCCCGGGGTTCCCACACTCCTGGGCCCCCCAGACTCCCGGGGTTCCCACACTCCCGGGCCCCCCAGACTCCCGGGGTTCCCACACTCCCGGGCCCCCCAGACTCCCGGGGTTCCCACACTCCCGGGCCCCCCAGACTCCCGGGGTTCCCACACTCCCGGGCCCCCCAGACTCCCGGGGTTCCTACACTGCCAGGCCCCCCAGACTCCCGGGGTTCCCACACTGCCGGGCCCCCCAGACTCCCGGGGTTCCCACACTGCCGGGCCCCCCAGACTCCCGGGGTTCCCACACTGCCGGGCCCCCCAGACTCCCGGGGTTCCCACACTCCCGGGCCCCCCAGACTCCCGGGCCCCCCAGACTCCCGGGCCCCCCAGACTCCCGGGGTTCCCACACTGCCGGGCCCCCCAGACTCCCGGGGTTCCCACACTGCCGGGCCCCCCAGACTCCCGGGGTTCCCACGTTACTCCCGGGCCCCCCAGGCTCCTGGGGTTCCCACACTGCCGGGACCCCCAGACTCCCGGGGTTCCTACACTGCCGGGCCCCCCAGACTCCCGGGGTTCCCACACTGCCGGGCCCCCCAGACTCCCGGGGTTCCTACACTGCCGGGCCCCCCAGACTCCCAGGGTTCCCACACTGCTGGGCCCCCCAGACTCAAGGGGTTCCCACACTGCCAGGCCCCCCAAACTCCCGGGGTTCCCACACTGCCGGGCCCCCCAGACTCCCAGGGTTCCCACACTGCCGGGCCCCCCAGACTCAAGGGGTTCCCACACTGCCAGGCCCCCCAAACTCCCGGGGTTCCCACACTGCCGGGCCCCACAGACTCCCGGGGTTCCCACACTGCCGGGCCCCCCAGACTCAACGGGTTCCCACACTGCCAGGCCCCCCAAACTCCCAGGGTTCCCACACCACTGGGCCTCCAGACTCCCGAGGTTCCCACACTCCCGGGGCTCCCAGACTCCCGGGGTTCCCACACTCCCGGGCCCCCCAGACTCCCGGGGTTCCCACACTCCCGGGCCCCCCAGACTCCCGGGGTTCCCCCACTCCCGGGGCTCCCAGACTCCCGGGGTTCCCCCACTCCCGGGGCTCCCAGACTCCCGGGGTTCCCACACTCCCGGGGCCCCCAGACTCCCGGGGCTCCCAGACTCCCGGGGCTCCCAGACTCCCGGGGTTCCCACACTCCCGGGCCCCCCAGACTCCCGGGGTTCCCACACTCCGGGGCTCCCAGACTCCCGGGGTTCCCACACTCCCGGGGTTCCCACACTCCCGGGGCTCCCAGACTCCCGGGGTTCCCACACTCCCGGGGTTCCCACACTCCCGGGGCTCCCAGACTCCCGGGGTTCCCACACTCCTGGGCCCCCAGACTCCCGGGGTTCCCCCACTCCCGGGCCCCCCAGACTCCCGGGGTTCCCACACTCCCGGGGCTCCCAGACTCCCGGGGTTCCCCCACTCCGGGGACTCCCAGACTCCCAGGGTTCCCACACTCCCGGGGCTCCCAGACTCCCGGGGTTCCCACACTCCCGGGCCCCCCAGACTCCCGGGGTTCCCACACTCCCATTCTGGGCCCCCCAGACTCCCGGGGTTCCCAGACTCCCGGGCCCCCCAGACTCCCGGGGTTCCCACACTCCCGGGCCCCCCCCCCCAGACTCCCGGGGTTCACACACTCCCAGGCCCCCCCCAGACTCCCAGGGTTCCCACACTCCCGGGCCCCCCAGACTCCTGGGGTTCCCACACTCCCGGGGCCCCCAGACTCTCAGGGTTCTCACACTCCCAGGGCCCCCAGACTCTCTGGGTTCTCACACTGCCGAGCCCCCCAAACTCCCGGGGTTCCCACACTGCCGGGTCCCCCAGACTCCCGAGGTTCCCACACTGCTGGGCCCCCCCAGACTCCCGCGGTTCCCACACTGCTGGGCCCCCAGACTCCTGCTTCTTGTTTATGTCTAGGGGCCTTGTAGACGTTATATACGAGGAGCTCAATGTTAACCATATTCACTGTTACGACTAATAACTCTACTCCATCCCCATATGAAACTGGGTCTATTTTCTTGCTGGGTATTGTGTTCCTGACTACGGTCATTAACCCCCCTTTGTCTCCCTTGTTCATACGGTATTGTATAATGCTGATATCAAGCTAATCTGAAGGATTTTGTGGCTGGGAAAGTTTCTTACAAAATAATTATATCTGCTATCGTACTGATTGCGTCTTCCTAAAGAGTGTGATTTTTATTTTCAAGACCTTGTATTTTCCACTGCAGTATTCATAATGACCAGACGACAGTTTCGGGTTACAAGAATTCAACCAACTATGAACCACTTATGTTGATGAAAGGGAGCACTAGAGCAACAGAAGTACACTTACATCGCATCAGGCTTGGATACCCATGAGCATGGGAAATAGGCTTACAGGTTCCGGAAGATGAGAGGAAATGTCAACACTGTGGAGAAATGCCCGACAGACCACTGGAACATTATCTAACACAGTGCACAGTTACAAACCCATTAAGATTTCAACTTAGATTCAACAGAGCAGAAGAAGTTGTTAAACACATATGGCAAAATCTTACTGAGGCGACTGTACGAGTCATAAATACTTATACTCCACCCAAGTAAAACAGAAACAAGCAACACTTAGTGGGCCAGCCTGAGGCTTAGGGCCCGCGCAGGAATATCCCTGCAAAAAAAAAAAAAAAAAAAAAAACAGATTTGTGTTGAGTAATTAGAGGATGTAGATTTTGGGAAGTAGAGCCCCAAGCACAAATACCATAATTGAGATAAGGATAGATGATAAATTAATAGAGCGTCACCAGGGCAGGGCGAGGTACATAATATCTGATCTAAGAAAGAATGCCAACAGTTTTAGAAACGTTTTTTGCTCTACTGTATTTAGAATGTGACCCTGGAAATTTAGCTTGTTATCGATGAGGACACCAAGGAATTTACCATCTACTTTATCTAACACCCCCTGTGCTTTATTTAGAAGTGAAGGACCTGTAATGACTAATGCTATATCATGAGCATAGCTTAGCAATTTAACCCCTTCTACAAATGTCAGGGTAATGAGGTTTTCCATAAGGATGTTAAAATAACTAAGACCGAGGACTCCTCCTTGTGGAGTCCCATTCTCATGCAAGTGGTAGTCCGACACTAATTGTCCTTGCAACTTTACTCTGGCATACCTGTGGCTTAGGTAATCTTGAATCCATCCTAGCATATTTCCCTTTACACCTTACCATAGCCGGACCTGAGTTAACTGTTCCTATTTATGTTGCCATGCAGTTGGCAGTACCTACTCCTCTAGTGAAGCCAAATATGTGTTTATTCAGGTCCAGTCTTCCACAGTAGCCTATTTAAGACCATCCGTTCTGCAGTTTTACTAATGCGTGTTGTTAATGAAATGGGTCTGTAATTGCCAGGTTTTTCGGCTTAGGAATTGGAATGATGTCTGCTTTCTTCCAAATAGTGGGTAGTTTGCCAAGATGCATTGATAATGTCCAATATCCCTTATTCTCAGAGAACAGCAGGACCTGCATATGCGATCATTGAGTATGTAATGTTATCAGCACCTGGTGCAGTGTCCTTGCCACCTTTTTTGGCCTGATTAGATCTTGTTTGGTGAAGGGACAGTCACATTCGTCATATGTAGCTATGCTCTCATGAATGGCTGTCAACCCTCTCTTGTTTTAATTGTTCTTGCTGC